AAATCCACTTAACCTACCAAAGAACATCTTGGTTGCTCCCAGGTTTGCACAATTATGAATAAAGCTCCCATAACTATTGAGTACAGATTTTGTGTGGACATATGTTTTTACCTTCTTTGGGTAAATAAAGGAATATTGCTAGATTGCTAGATTGCATGGCAACAGTATGTTTGGTTTTGTAAAAAATAGCAAATTGTCTTCAAAATTGTCTATATCATTTTCCATTCCCACCATCAATAAGTGAGTTTCTGTTGCTCTACATCTTTTTAAATATTTATATTAAATATAAATATTAAAATTAATTATAGATGGACATAATATCTTTAATTTTTTATTTATTTTTATGTGGTGCTGAGGATTGAACCCATGCCTCACATGTGCGAGGAATATGTTCTGCCACTGAGCCACAACCCTAGCCTCTGCTTTACATCTTCACCAGCATTTGGTGTGATCAATGTTTTAGCAATTTAATAGGTGTTAATGGCATCTCATTATTGTTTTAATTTACATTTCCTAGATGACTTATGATGTATGTGGAGCATCTTTTTATGTGTGTTTTTCCATTTGTATATTTTCTTTGAGGAAATGTCTATTAAGACCTTTGGTCCATTTTATAATCAGATTATTCTCTTATTGTTGAGTTTTAAGTGTTCTTCATATATTTTGGATAATAATTCTTTACCTTTTGCAAATATTTTCTCCCAATCTGTGACTTGTCTTTTACATCCTCTTGACGGTATTTTTTTTGCAGAGCAGAAGTTTTAAATTTTAATGAAGTCCAGCTTATCAGTTATTGCTTTAATGGATCACACCTGCATTGCATTCAAAAGTCATCATCATATCCAAGGTCACATGGATGTACAATTGATCCAGCAAAGACTTGCTGAAAAGACTACCTTTGCTCCATTGTATTGTCTTTGCTCCTTTTCCAAAGATCAGTTGAATATGTTTATGTGGGTCTATTTCTGGAGTCTCTATTTTGTTCCATCGATCTATTTGTCTGTTCTTTTGCCAGTGCCATATCTTGATTACTGTAGCCTTACCAAAGTCTTGAAGTCAGATAGTGTCAGTTCTTCAACTTTGTTCCTCTCCATTAGTATTGAGTTGACTAATCTGGGTCTTTTGCCTCTATGTATAAACTTTACAATCAGTTGTTATCCATAAAATAACTTCTGGGATTTTGATTGGAATTGCACTAAATTTATAGATCAAGTTGGAAAGAACAGATATCTTGAGTTTTCCTTTCCATGGACCACATATTTAGTTTTTTGATATCTTTCATCAGAATTTTGCAGTTTTCCTCATGTAGATCTTGTGCACATTTGATAGATCTCTACTTAAATCTTTCATTGTTTTGGATGCTAATATATATGGTATCGTGTTTTAAATACCAAGTTCTGCTTGTTCACTGGTGGCATGTAATAAAACTATTGACTTTTTTGTATTAACCTTGTATCCTGCATTCCTACTGGGATTGCTTCTTAGTTCCATGAGTTGTAAGATATTATTTTAATTCTACCCATAGTATAGATCTAAGTCCAGCAAAGCACCGTTTTATAATACAAATCTGTGTTTTGCTCCATTTGTATAAAAATGTTCTCTTTTGCCCTTTAAGGTGAACTGAGGATACCATGACAGTCACAGTGGTATATGATAACTCTGAGGCAACAGAGCTCTGTGCGGCTCAGCACCTCTACCTCAAGCCCATAGCAAAATTGATGATCAGTGTATTGCTCCCAGAAAGTATGGATCCTGTGAGGCCCTTCTCTAACTGGGAAGTTCTTGACCAGCTAAAGAGCCTCATTTGCCCTGACCAGTTCACCACAGTTCGGCTCTCCAAGAGTACAAAAGACTTTATCCGATTTGAGGGTGAGGCTGAAACCAGAAGTTTGGTTCAAATCTTAAAGGCAAAGTTACATGGAAAGATCATCAAGCTAAATGGTTTGAAAACAGACTTAAAAGTAGTGGCTACAGATGCCTTGGGAGAGTGGGAACACTTCCCCAGGGAAAAAGAAGCTTCACTGAGTGATGGGGCTGAAGAGCAGGACCACGATAAGAGCCCAGATTCCATATATTTTGAAGGCTTGCCCTGTAAATGGTTTGCACCAAAAGGTTCCAGTGGGGAGAAGCCATGTGAAGAGATTGTTCGGGTAGTCTTTGAAAGTTTCGGGAAGATCAAGAATGTGGATATCCCTATGCTTGACCCCTACAGAGAAGTGATGACTGGTGGGAGCTTTGGGGGGTTTAGCTTTGGCTTGCAGACATTTGAGGCCTTTATACAGTACCAGGAGTCAACGGACTTTAATAAAGCCATGGAGTCCCTTCGAGGGATGAAGCTGATGCTTAAAGGTGATGATGGGAAAGCTCTGGCATGTAACATTAAGGTAAGAAATAGCCAGACTTTCTTTTATTTCCCACTTTTCAGGTGATCTTGAGTCAAAGCTGGAAGGAAGCATCTAGAATAAATTTCCTTAGATTCCACCAGGCTCTGATTAATAACTCAAGTAAAGACTTATGTTGTCATTAAGCAATGGATGTCTAGGGAGAAAAATAATCTTGATTGGAACACTCCTTCTACTCTCAGGCATGATGGTTGTTATAATCTGGGGTTCTGCTGTAGCTTCTTGAGGGCATTAAAAGATTATTTGTGGCTCCTATGAAGTATCTCATATTCTGTTGTGTTAGGTTGCTGAGGGAGAGAGGGACACATGTAGTTTAAAACCATAAGGACAACAGTTTATTTCCTTATTATTCTGGGAATCACAGCTTATATTTTCAGCATGTCTGTCAGGTAAACTGCTAAAACATAATCCTACCAGATTTGGATCTTTTACTTTCAAAATCAGCCTGTCTATCCAGTCATGTCATCTCATTGATGTCTGTATGCTTTGGTTATCTACTTTTGGAAATCTTAACCCAGCAGTGGAAAAGAGATAACTATATGCTCCTTTTTCTATAAATCAGTCGTTACCGTTAGCATGAATTTGCACTTTTAGCTTTGTGTGTGTGAGGGAGTGCGTGTGTGATCATGTGTGAGCACTTTTGTTAATATGCATATTTTAAAATTATGAGCTATTCAGTAAGACAAAAGACATACCAAAAATTATAATGACTACTCATATGCTATTGCTCAGTTTATAAAATAAACCATTACTAGTAAGATGAAAGAGCACTTCCGTTCTATGTACCTACCCTCAATCATATTCGCCTTCCTCCCCTCAAAGGTAACCATGGTCATGAATTTGTTGTTTTTCATTATCATATAGATTTAAATAGCTCTCTCTAGCTGCTTTTACATTTTTAAGCAAATCTGTTTATCTCAGTCTGACTTTCACTTTATGATTTGAAAAGTAGTTTAATAATCATGGTAGTCACATTTCACATCACATCGTTCACTTTTCTTGTAGTTTTTCTCTGTCCCCACCCCCATTTCCCATTAAGCTAACTGACTATTTTTTTTATTCCTGATCATTTACATAAATACAGTAATTCAGTTGATTTTTAGAACAAACCAGAGGTAATATACTCACATTTCTAGAGTGTGCTGATATTGGTGCTGTGATGCTGCCCATGACCATGTCAACCAAACTCTTCAAGGGTTTTTTTTTTTACATCTTTATTGAAATTTGACATATTAAATTGTAAAAGGTCAAGTAATGTTTGATATAATTACGCAAGGGTTCTACTAAAGAAAATCTGAGTGTTCACAAGTACTTTTCAGCTGGTAACTAAGAAGCAGTGGAACAATATGGGCACTGGAATGCAGAGAGGACATTTTGAATTCATTTGGTTTCAAATTGCCATGTACCATCTTTTTTTTTTAAATCTCTCTGGCCTGTGTCACATCCAGTCAACTGACAAATCTTTCTAATAAAACTTTAAACTGTTTGGGGGCAGGTTATGTTTGACACAACCAAACACTTCAGTGAAGGAGCTGTAAAGAGGAGAAATCAGGAAAGGCTAAAATTACAAGAACTGGAGGAAGAAAGGAAAAAAGAAAAGAGAAGAGAAGAGGAAGTGGCTGAAAGGTGAGTAGACTGATTTTAGGTAAGGAGGGTTTTTCTTTTGATTTGTAGATTGATTCCTTTGGGTGAATAGCTAAACATGATAGATAACATTGAGGTGGGGGACAGATATTGGTATAGACTACAAAACTCTATTGAAGATTAAAGTCTTTAAAGTGTGCTGTAATGAAACCAAAATGATGAAACAGTTGAAAACAAGAGACTGGAAAAAATATGTCTATAAATGAGAATAAGCAGTAAGAAATTATGGGACTAGCCAGATTAAGATGCCTGGAAAGAAATTATTTTTAAAAGAAGGCTCAGGGAGTCTTATAGTAAAAATTCTAACCTAGCAAATTAGAAATTTGAGTAATTTACCTATTATCTACCAATATTACTTGCCTACCAATTTAAAATAATGAATAGGTTTATAAAAGATTTTATTCCACAAATTGGTCAACAAACCATAGGTACTGTACTCACATTTATCAGAGTAACCCATAGGCAAGAAAGTCACAGATTTCCTGGGGCCGTTTTTCTTGTTGGCTTAAATTCTTTCTGTGAATTTATGGAGCTTCCACATTTATTTCTTTGAGCTTATAGTTTTCCAATTTAGAGGCTTAAACCTAGAATGGGGTACTGGATTTCCAAAGGTTTGTCAAGGAGGTACAGATGGGCCAGAAATATAGGGCTCTGAAAACCAGTTTTACCTCCTGGCCCCTCCTCTTGAATGTAAATTATAACATTCAAAAAAGGAGCTAACAGTACCCTTTCATGTGCCCCTCACTTTTTGTCTTGTGGGGTGATAGGAGTTACTTGAGATCACAGCTAGGGAACTAGAGCCCAGTCAAGATATGGTTCTCCTCCAAATTCCAGGTTGAATATCCCATTTAGACAGTCCTTTGTCATTTGGCTAAGTCCTGACTTCAGGTAGTTGCTTTCTTTCCCCTTCCCACATTCTCATAGGGACCTAACTGAATTAATTTTAATTTTCTGAAAAAGGCGTTAAAAACCATATTCTCCCAAGCCAGTGTATTTTTACAATAGTGTTTATGCTAAGTAATAGGGGCCAGGGATCAGTTTTCATCCTGAAGATTTTCTTAGTGCCTTGTCTTATATTTAACTGCCTATGTGAAACCAACCCACAGAACATTTTAATCTCAAGAAAAATGAAATCACTTTGAAAGCTCGGTCCTGTTGTCATTGCTTGTGGTTTGAGAATGTGGAGGATGGAGCCCCTCCTTTGAAATCTGCAGCTTTCTTCTTCCTCTTCCTCTTCTTCCTCCTCTTCTTTTGATAGTCTATCTTTGCATAAGATTTCCTTTACACGCTTGTATTTGACCAACTAAATCATGTATCTTTCTCCCTTGACCGATGCTTAACAGTAATTTTATGTGTGTGTGTGTGTGTGTGTGTTTGTCATGAGTTGTCTATGCTAGGTTTTGGGTTAACAGTGGTACAGTGGTATATTCCTAGAAACCTAAATGATCTGTCCTCCCCTAACAGGGGAAGGAGGAAAGAGGAGGCCAAATGTTTAATAAATACCTTTTGAATGGTTTGATGTTAATCTTTGTCCAGAAAAAGAAAAGATGAGGAGAGGAGAGCCCACGAAAAGAGGAAGAAGGCCAGGACCAGGAGGCGAGCCCTGAAGGAGAGGGACAGCCACAGGTCAAGGAAGCACAAAGTGAGGGCCAAAGCTGAGGCACCTGAGGAGCCAGACTCTTCAGAAGAATGGCAGGAGAGGAAGCACATGCTGGCTCAGAGGAGAGTTGAGGCCCTTCGATTGCTACGGGTACTCCTGAGGAAAATCTCGGTAGGGCTATTTCCAAATTGTTATTCAGTTTGGGTAGGTATTAACCTTTCTGAGCTCCAGCCTTTTCATTTAAGCACTGGCCTATTGAAAGTCAACTCATGGAAGACTCATGGCATTCACTGGGGTTGCTTGGAAATCAACTGATCTCTAATAACCCTAACTGGGAATTTCCAAAAGGGATATCTACATTCTCTAAAGGAGTGGTCTCAACTCTGCCCTCCTATACATATACTTTATATTTCTAAACTTCAAGACTGTATTACCCAGAGTATTTAGCTAGTTTGTTGATTTTTTCTGTAACAGAAAAATGCAAGGGGAAGCAATGGATAGGTGTGGGTGTTAGGTTGCTGTCTTCTATTAACTTTACTTGTCCATTCATCTGTGACATGTTTGGATGTGAAGGGAGAGCCTGTAGCAAGCTTATGTTAGTCTAGTCTTGAACTATTTGCTGAAGAATTTCTTATCTCACAGAGCATTTGTTTTGTTTGGAGAGTTTCATTTTTGGAAGGTGTTTCTTTCCCTTTCTGGGTTCTTTTTTTATTATTTTATTGTTTATTAACACTTTTTATTTTGCAAATAATATATATATATAAATTTTATACATTTATATAAAATATATATACCTAACAATCTCTCAGGTATCTCATTATGGTTTTAATGTGAAATTTCTTTTTTATAAATATTTTTGTAGTTGTAGATGGACACAATACCTTTATTACTTATTTATTTATTTTATGTGGTGCTCAGGATTGAACCCAGTGCCTCACACATTCGAGGCAAGCGTTCTGCCACTGAGCCACAATCCCAACCCCTTAATGTGAAAGTCCTAACAACAAATAATACTGGGTATTTTTTCATTTGCTTATTTGCCATTTGATTCTCCTTTTTAATGAAATACCTGTTTATTTTTTATTGATCTTTTTAAAAATAAATGATAGCACAATGCATTACAATTCTTATTACACGTATACAGCACAACTTTTCATAACTCTGGTTGTATATAAAGTATGTTCACACCAATTTGTGTTTTCATACATGTACTTTGGATAATGATGTCCATCACATTCCACCATCCTTGCTAATCCCCTGCCCCCTCCCTTTCCCTCCCACCCCTCTTCCCTATCTAGAATTCATCTATTCCTCCCATGCTCCCACTCCCTATCCCACTATGAGTCAGCCTCCTCATATCAGAGAAAACATTCAGCATTTGTTTTTTGGGGGATTGGCTAACTTCACTTAGCATTATCTTCTCCAGTGCCATCATTTACCTGCAAATGCCATGATTTTATTCTTTTTTATTGCTGAGTAAAATTCCATTGTGTATATATGCCACATTTTTTATCCATTCATCCACTGAAGGGCATCTAGGTTGGCTCCACAGTTTAGCTATTGTGAATTGCTATAAACATTGATGTGGCTGTGTCCCTGTAGTATGCTGTTTTTAAGTCTTTTGGGTATAGACTGAGTAGAGGGATAGCTGGGTCAAATGGTGGTTCCATTCCCAGATTTCCAAGGAATCTCCATACTGCTTTCCATATTGGCTGCACTAATTTGCAGTCCCACCAGCAATGTATGAGTGTGCCTTTCTGGGTTCCTAAAGACAGTCAAACTCAGCACAAGCCCTGGATTCAAACCCAGAAATACTTCCAAAGTATTAACTTAAAAATCCACATTTATGGGCTGGGTTTGTGGCTCAGAGGTAGACCACTTACCTAGCATGCGTGAGGCACTGGGTTTGATTCTCAGCACCACATAATAAAGTATTGTGCCCATCTACAACTAAAAATATATTTTTTAAAAATCCATATTTAGGTGAGCATGGTGGCACATGCCTGTAATCTTAGAAAATCAGGATTTGGAGGCAAGAGGATTTCAAGTGAGAGGCCAGTCTGAGCAACTTAGCAAGATCCTGTTTCAAAATAAAAAAGGGCCAAGTGTGGTGGTGCATGCTTGTAATCCCAGTGAATTGGGAGGCTGAGGCAGGAGGATCATCAAGTTCAAAGCCATCCTCAGCAGCTTAATGAGGCCCTGAGAAACTCAGCCAGACCCTGTCTCTAAATAAAATATAAAAAAGGGGTTGGGGATGTGGCTCACTGGTTAAGCACCCCTGGGTTCTATCCTCATGACCAAAAAAATTATTTAAATAAATAAAAAAATAAAAAAGGACTTGAGATATAAAGAGCTCCTGGGCAGTACCAATTATTTTTTTAAAAAAAAATCCATATTTAGCATTTGTAAATATGAAGAGAGAATGTCATTACATAGAATTAATTTTATATCTATTTGCCATCTTGGCCTTTCTCATTAGTATGGACAGTCAAACTTAGTGAAATCAGGACCAGAAAAATCTCACATTTACATGTATAACAAGGTTTGCTGCATTTTTTGTTTAACTTAATAATTGAGGGTTACTCCTTTTTTAAAAATGTGTCTTTTTAAGTGAGTATAGTGTCTAATTCTGAGTCCCATTAATATTTGTACCAATTATGTGGTCCTCTGGTTTTAATCCCAGATAATGGGCAGGTACTGTACCCTGATGTATGATAGGTGTGAGTGGGAGCACAGTACAAACCCTTGTTGGGTGGCAGTGTGGGCAGCACCTTTCACCTGCTTTGTAGTTATGTAGAACAGATAGCATTAAGATATAATAGTAGGTAGACCCATGATCATAACCATTTTTGCTACTTGAAGCTTTTTATTGTTTTTTTTTTCATGATGCTGATGATAGAACCTAGGGCCTCACATATACTAGGCAATTGCATCACTACTTTCCTAGCCCTCATGGGCTTGCTTTTTAATGAAGCAAGTGAGGTAGGGCAACTCAGAGATACCCTCCATAGTAAGAGGCTGGGATATAAAACAGAGATTGTTTATCTTTGAAGCCAGTTGATTCTTGGACACATATTTCATCCATCAGTCCTTTCTTATGCTAGGACATTTCTGGGAGGGCTATAAAATGTTTCTTATTTCTCTTTGTCTCTCCAGCTCCTATTATGTATGATACCTAGAATAGTAGGTTCATCAATTTTTGAACAAGTGGAAAAAAGGGTTATGTGCTTTGAAAGCGATGTAAAGTGTGGTACCTTGTGATAAAAGGAAGGGCACAGACCTAATTAAAGTAGCTCATATTAGATAAAGATATTTATTTTATTACTTCCCATTTCTTCATTGCAATATTGTTCCTAATTTGGATCTGTCCCAGGTATTAGAAATCTCTTTGGAATAATGTTAAAAGAGCCCAGTTTTCTTTGGAATTTTTTCCATCTATTTAGTTTCTCATATGAGATTTTTAATCTTTTCCTTTGAAGGGATCTACACAATTTAACCCACAGGAGGTTGACATTACAGGACCCGAAGCTATTTATACTCTAGGGAACACATTGGAAATTCTGGAGGAAGAAGAATTCAACACTCAGCATCTTCCAAATCAAGAAGAAATGCCAAAATACCAGGTTGCCAAGTCAGATAATAAACAAACACAAAAAATAAAGAAACGAAATAGGGCTCGCTTACATCAATTTTCTCACTGCCTTCGGGGAAAAAAGTTAAGATACTCAATTAGAAAAGGGAGGACTGCAAAATTATTAACTGATGGATACAGACTGGTCTCTGGCCAGAATTCCTTGAAAACTACAATGATCCAAGGTCAGACTCTTGAAAAAGAAGACCACCACAGTTCTAATAAATCCTATTCTTCAAGATTCTCTGAGAGAGACCATGGCAGGAAAGAGAAGATCTATGAAACAGATGAATTTATTAACTATATATTAAACTATTATCAGACTCCAAAATATGCCCGGATCTGTCTACAACCAAGTCACACAACAAGCACATATCAGTGGCACAGGGACGTTCATGCTAAGGGAAATGGATTTGAGATCAATTTGAGAAAACGTATGCCTGATTCAATCATTTGGAGTCAAATCGAAAACATAGAAAGGAGAGAACAGGTTCAGGAAGATGATTACTGCTCAAAGGTATGTACTCAGGATCCTCAGGATAAACCACAAAATGGGGGGAAAGTAGATTATACCAAAGAGTGCTCTAAGAGATTTAAAAATGATTGCAAGGATACAGCCAGTGAGACTGGTGATCAGCTGTCCCCAACTGATGGTAAAAGCCATCTCTTAGAAAAGACTCACACTGACCAGGTCCAAGATTCCAAATCCCAAAGGAAAAGTCAAGATTCTTCCCCCTCCAGCTCAATAGGCTTAGATGTGCATTTGACAGATTTCTTAGAGGAAATTAGTAGTGATTCTGAATGCTTCAGTGAAACTCTTAGCATAAATGAACAGGAGAAACAGAAATCTGTGACCACACATCATGGTTCTCCTGAAAAAGGAACTCTTGATGCAGATGAAATCATTACCTGTGAAAGAAAAACTAGGTCAAGTCAGCAGACTTCATATTCAGAGTGGAAACGTGATGGTGAGGAAAAATACTCCAAATACAAGCTTAAGACACCAGGCAAGAGGTCTAGGAATGAACCGAGATGTTCATGGCTTAAGGATGAAAGCAATTCCGTTAATGATGAGAAGAATAGCAGCAAAAAGAGGAGAAAAATGGCCCCCAACTACTTATTTGATGAAGGCTACTACCACGAATCCAGTTCCAGTGATCAATTAGAGGACATCACAAAGAAGAGGAGGGTTAGTAGGGGTACACTGGACCAGAATTTGAACTATAGAACCTCTCATGTGCCAATAACATCAAAAAGTGCTAATGCTTTCTATTTGGGATATTTTCCCAAAAGAAGAATGAGTCCTTGGAAGGCAGACTATAACCAGGATGCAAGAAGGCTTAAAAGACATGAGAATTCTAAAGATCTCATTTTCAGTTCTGATAATCATCATGTTAGACATAATAGTCAGGAGCACATTGACTATGGAAGCTATTTAGCAAACAACTACACTAGTTCTTTATATTTTCAAATGTTCTGATGGCTACTTTGATCAGGAACACTCTTATTTATAATCAATGATTTGGAAATAAGAAAATTTAAAACCAAATATAACTATGTAGTTAGTAACTACACAGCAAGAGCTTGAGCAGGGTCAAATGCAAAACCTTGTTTCTCTTTCCAAAGTGTAAAACATAGATCAAAATGACCGCAGGTGTGTTGGCAAGCTTTGGAAATATAAAACCTCTGGATCATGAAGCTTGATGAAACAATGTGCTTGCAAAGCTTCATGATTTAAATATTTCTTTTTCTTTTTTTTTTTTTTGGTATTGGGGATTGAATCCAGGGGTGCTCTACCGCTGAGCAGTATCCCCAGATACTTTTATTTTTGACTTTGAGACAGGGTATCAGTAAGTTGCTGAGGCTGGCCTCGAACTTGAGATCCTCCTGTCTCAGCCTCCCGAGTTGCTGGGATTATAGGTGTGTATAACTGCACCTGGCCAGGACAGACTTTTTTTTATACCTTTAATTTGGTGCCAGTGAAGGAGCAGATTAACATTGAGAAGGGTTGAGAGATAGCCCTGTATGGCTCTTTTGCTGACACAACATCATCATTTAGTATCATTCATCTTCAAAGAGGACAACAGTGAACAAATAAGGAATCTTTTACATGTTTTTTGATTTGGTCAGAAACACTAAGTGCAATAACAATCCTTTCTCACTTTTATTTATTAAAAATTATAGATAAAAGAGAGAGACAACAGCTAGAGCATAGACTTCTTCATGACATTAGAGAGTTTTTTCAGTATCCATAGGAAGGTAATTCATCATATTAATATATGTCAATAAAACCCAAAGAGTTGTCCTTTTAGAGACGAAGTTTGGAATAAGAATTTGAAGGGGGCTCAGATTGTCCTTTGTGGTTTAAATGGTCAGGGAACAATTAATAGTTTTTTTTGTTGTTGTTGTGTTATGAACCCCATATCTTTCCATCATGGAAAAGCAACAGGATTGAAGTGATATAACTAGAGGGCTTTGCAAAATGAAATATTCAATATCCTGGAGCACCAATAATGGCACTTGGGAAGAGAAGATATGACTGTGCATTTCAGGTTATGTAATTCTTTCACTCAGGGTTGGGTGACATCGGTTTGTAAAAAGTCACTGAATATCCCCAAACTGACTTTTATAAGACAGTAACAAGTGCCTCCTCAATCCTCAATTATGCCATGGAGTTAGGAAGAGTTAAGGGAAAAAAAACATAGTTTTCTGGTTGTGGAAAAGTTGTATGTGTTCAGGATTTATAAACTCTATTTAACATAAAGAATTTATCTTTTTACCTACTCATTTTGGACTTCTTAAATATGTTTTAAAATTGAGACATTTTATAGATTATCTTAAAGATTTAAATCTTAGTGCAGCATATGTTCTATAGAAAGCTTGGCCAATGAATTCTGCCTTATGTTGGATTTAGGACCTCAGGGGCAGTAGATATCCTTTATTTTCCCAACAAAGCTATACCTGACCTGGCAATAGAAGATATCAGTTAGATTAGATACTGCCTGCACAGGAAAAAATGATTTTAATCCACAAAATCAGTGAAAGGCAACATTTTCATATTATAATTCATTTCAAACTATCTTAATTTGATATTCTGTAGAAAAGCACCAGCTAGTAGAAACAGGTAGGATGCCAGTCAGTGTGGTTGCAAAGAATGATGTCGCACAATGTGTGCCCATAACCAGCCTCTTGAGCAACCTGGTATCTGAAGTAGCTACAAAGTCTCATTTATCTAAAGAGCCACAAGTTTCATGGATCAATTTGTATTTTAATAATGATATGTTAGGACATGCAAAATTCAGAAGTGAACACACCATAACAAATCATGTCTATTACTAATAAAATGAGTAATTTGTTGGCTCTCGTGCTCAATCCCACTTTTAAGCCAGTGACTCCCCTATTAAAACTAGGTTTGGCTAATCAAATTTGAAAAAGTGCTCATGGGGCAAGTGCCTTTTCTCCTTTGAGGACTAGCAATGACTATTCATGTTCAAAGTGCTGTTGTCCAGAGTAGCCTTTTAAACATACTAACAGCTCATATTTTATCAGACAACTTTGTTAACTAGGTTATTATCCACCTCCAATAAAAACCTGTCTCTTTATTTTTTCATATTTTATGTCATTGAAACAAAGAACTTTCTGAGTTTGTAATGGAAAATAGCTATTGGGGGAAAAAATCTCAAATTTTTCCATCATTTGATAATTTTTGTCTTTGCCCAGTTTTTGAGACATGGAAACAATTTACTGCTCAGCAAACAGACATAAAAATAAATTGCTGAATATAGCATGTGCAATTTTTCTTTGTATAATGGAACTGGTGCTAATTCATTTCTACATGGTATTTTTGTCTTGTTTGGTTTGTTTGCTATATACCATCCTGGGACCTAGAAGAAAGTAAGAATACAGGTTTTATGTTGACTTTCTGAACAACCTGTATTTTTATAGCTTGTGATAATGCATTCTAGATTTGAGTCAACCTTTTTGTGTAGCCTTAAATGAGAAAGACAACTTATCCTGTACTTTTCAATCAAGTGGCTTAGTAAAGAGTGAAATAGAACTGAAATTATTATAACCGTATTCTCTTAATTGATGTTATTCTTTGTTGTGCTGTTATTTAAGTGGTGCAAAGTATTTTCTCATATCCTTTTTCTATGTCGTATTAAATAAGGGCCTGAACTTTAAACTTTGTCTTTTTAAATAGGTATTTTCATGTTTTTCCTTGTATGTGCTGCTCATACTGCTGTAAGAAAGCTAAAAAATCTGTCATGTTTTTTGTTCAGTTTGAATTTCTCAGGTAGAAAGCCATGTAACTTGGTAATTTTGAAAATAGAACCAAATAAATGTATTTTTTATTTGTTGCAAACTGTTTAAAATGTTAATTTTTAAATAAATGTTGATAATTCCACTTTTGGGGAAGTTTCTACCTGTAGAATACAGCATTGCACTAATGTTGCTCTTTTTCCTCATTTGCATTGTTAGAGAAATAGTGATACATTTAATTTTCATATATATTAAAAATAAAATTGTCATAGTGACTGTTGAGTCTTTGTTCATTTGCCACATGTACTGGCTAGAATATTGAACACTCATAATTAACAGTTTGTCTGAAAACATAGTGACCAATTTTAATATTGTTTTTATGCCAGTTTTCCCTTTATGATGAGTTCATGGGAACTGTGTAGGGCTCATGGTACCAACAACCAGTATTGTTTTCATTTTGGATAAATCAAAATCATGTTTGATTTGTAATTATCCCTCCTTCAGTATACTTTTTATCACTCCTATTAAAAGGTAGCAGAATTGAGTATGAAATTTCATCTTATCCCCTCAGCACTGGGTGGAAGTGTCAAAGTTTATACAATACAAAAAAAAAATAACTGGGTATGGGATGGGGAGTCTAGTAGAGAAGCTAGATTCCTGATAATCAGTCTTTGATCATTTAAGAGTTAACTATATTTGTACATGAAATACACAACAAACTGCCTTGAGGTATTATGTAATTAAGACAGACTGTACCTTCAACTCTGGGCACTTGTGTGGTTAAAAGAACTCTTCCTGAAACAGCAAGGAATAGTGGATGCTTGTTCTGGGTAGCAAATTTGCATAAATTTGGCCCTCAGAGGTAAAGAGAATGTTACATTCTACAGAGAAGCCAGATAGGGAGATACAGAAAACTTAGCCAATGCTTGCTTTGAAACACAGATACAGAAAACATGTAACTTATGCTGCTTGTAAACCACAGACATAGAAAATATGTAACCAATGCTGCTTGAGATCCAATTCTGCACTGAGAACAAAGTGTCTCTGCAGCTGGTTGGGTGACAGCAGGTGGGGAGCAAACAGAGGTTACCCAGATACCTGCCCTGCTGGATGTATGGAAGTGGTAACAATCACTGCTAACTTTTCTAGAATTACACATTTTTCTATACTATGACATATATAGTATGGACTTGATAAAAGTTTTGCCTCAAAATCCTGCCTTATGGTAATATCCCTTGACATGTAATCAACACAATGTTGATTCAGCTCTGAATGCAGGGGAATCAGGATATTGGGATTGAAGTTTTAATGACATTCTAGATGTTTTCCTCTTGGCATCAGAAAAACCTGCTAAACTGTGTAAACAGAGTAGCCTAATCTACAGGTTTAAATGAGATTCAAGGGCTGGGGTTGTACCTCAGGGGTAGAGTGCTTACCTAGCATATGCGAGGCCTTGGGTTCGATCCTGAGCACCACATTTTAAGTAAATAAATAAAATTTGTGTCCAACTACAACTAAAAAAATAAATATTTGTTTTTTTAAAATAAGACTTAAGGCTACAAAGGTGGCCTAACTTCTCTCCCTCCACAGTTTCTCCAAAGTAGAAGGTGCAGTAAGGCACCTGACATAAAATAAGCATTTGAATATTTCTTGGATAAAATAGTGTGGGGGAAAAAAGCACATTTTAAAAATATTCATGCACTGTTGCAGTTAATAACATTACTCCTTAATAAACCTGCTACAGACTTCAGTTAAGAAAGTTCTGACTCTGGGGCCGGGGATATGGCTCAAGCGGTAGCACTCTTGCCTGGCATGCGTGCGGCTCGGGTTCAATCCTCAGCACCACATACAAAGTTGTTGTGTCTGCCGAGAACTAAAAAAGAAATAAATATTAAAGTAAGTTCTCTCTCTCTTTAAAAAAAAAAGTTCTGACTCAAAAAACAATTCAATATTTCTTTTTCTTTGGTACCTGGGATTGAATCCAGGGGTATTTAACCGCTGAACAACATCCCCAGCTCCCCTCTTTTTAAATTTTGAAAGTTTCACTAAATTGCTGAGGGTGGCCTGGGACTTGTGATTCTCCTGCCTTAGCCTTCTGAGTCACTAGAATTACAGGTGTGTGCCACCATCTCTAGCTCAATTCACAATTTCTTAAGAAGATAAGGTGATATTTGTAGTGGAAGGATTATACTTGCTTCTTTTGGAGCACAAATAAAAAAAATCTGCACTCAAAAGTGAAACTGAATTTTAAGCTAAAGTAAAATGACTAAATCTAGCTTCTTTCTTTTTTGGTGCTTAACCACTGAGCCACATCCCCAGTCCATTTTCGTTTCATTTGAGAGTCTTGCTGAGTTGCTTAGGGCCTTGCTAAATTGCTAAAGCTGGTTTTGAACTTGCAGTCCTCCTGCTTTAGCCTCCCAAACTGCTGGGAGTATAAGCATGGGCCACCACACCCAGCTCTCAATCTAGTTTCTTAGAATAAGTTTTTAAAAAGTTAAAATGAGCCA